TGGCTCACACCAGAGGCTTTCCCATTCTGTGCCAGCAGTGTGTTACTGTGCCCCTTCTCGGTCCCCAACCCTAGCCTGCCAGCTGCCAACCAGCTCTGGAGGGTTTGCCAGGGACAATAGTGGCAACAAAGTGGGGAGAGGAACTTGTATTGTAACCCTGAGTCTTTGTATTCAGAGACTGTGTTTTGGAACCCCCAAGTATTCTTGGTCTCATAGGCACTGGTCCTGTCTCCCTAGAGATTTACTTCCATTCACCCTTGGATATATTCCTGGAGAAACATTTACACAGTAATATGTGTTGCACCACTTAAAATTGTTAATTGGAGATTGAATTACTTGTCAGCTTTTAAAAATGTAGTCCTGTCAGGTCAAGGAGGAGGGTGTTAGCAGCACGAGTAGATGAGCTATTGCATATTTTCTTCCCCTTCCTCTTTTTTCTCCCCCCTCCCTTTTCCTCTCTCATCCTTTCTCCTTTCTTTTGTTCCCATTTTAATACTTCTTCCATGTTCCCACTTATTCTTTCTCATCTCTCTCTTTCTGCCTTAGCCAAACCTTTATTGATAACCTGACAGGTCCCCAGAGTGACTTTAATATCTAGAATCATGGATGAAGTCCAGTGATGACAGTTGCTCAGGAAATTTACAAAACCCCTCCTCAAATCCTCTTGAGAATAGAAATATCGTAATGAGATGGAGTATTGCAGCAAGGACTCAGCTTGTGTAGCCTAATTCTTAGATGCAGGAGGACTTTTGTACTCCCTGCTTCTTTAACTGACCCATCAAGAATGTTTAAAGGGGGAAAGGTTGGATAAAGGGAGGAAAGCAGCAGAATTCATTTTTTATCCCATCGATATGCATCATGGGATATGATATGCATCTTCAGCACATGATTGCAAATATTTACTTATAAGTCGGAAGGTCCCCAGCATAATGTATGTATCAGGACAAAAGCAATTTTTTAAAAACAGTTGAGCTAAGTTACATCTATGAAACTTGGAAATCTCAGTGCCTGTGTGCTGACAAATATCCTGACAAGTAAATACTACATTCATTCAGTATTACACAGTGATTTCATTTGCACAAAACCTCACAATGCTCTGCCACTTCAGTCACATGTCTGGAGCACTGGGGAAGGGAAGAACGTGTTTATCTTGATCTCCAAAAAGGGATTTAAGGGCGAGAGCAGGCTGTCTATTAGACTGTTTTCATTGCCTGTCAGCTGTGGTAAACCTGAGCTGTCTGCAGTGTCTCTAGATAAGGGGCAACAGCAGCAGCGGCTAAGGCCTCTGCGTGTATGTATGTATGGCTGCATTCATTTGTACTTCCTGTGTATCTCAAAATTTCTAAAGGCTATGTAGCATCTTTCGTGGAGCCTCTAACATTTGTGTTCTGCTAATCGCTGGCTGTATGCAGCGCTCTTAATTCCCAGGTCTGCCAGCTGTAAGTGCTGGATGAGGCTGAAGTTTATATGGAGAGTGAATGGAGATCCCCTTTCAGGCTCAGCCCTGCGGCGTGGGCACTCTTCAGCAGGGGACCTGAGATGGTGCCTGTTCCTGGTATTGCATGGCACTGCCTCTCCACTTAGACCTGGGGGCAGCAAAGTAGGGCCTCATCAGAGTCACCTCTGTTTGAATGGTTCCTATGTTCAAGTGGTTATTGATGCTTGTTGGGCAGATAAACTAAAAGTTTGTATCATGCAGTATAAAATGTGAGAGGAATAATTTCGGAACTGGAACATGGCAAGCAACTTGACTTATACAAGAATGCCTATGTCCAAGTTGGAAAAAAATTGGTGAATGAAGCTTGCCCACTTCATGAAAATATTATGTTGATGAGGGTTGTTTACCCCAGGTTTTTCTGTAGAAGGTTGGTAGGGCAGTAGATTGAAGAATAAAACAGTGGTTCTGTCTATGTGGGTTCTTTACTTTGCCTTCCTCAGTGCTCATCAGGGTTAGTGTAACTGTTCCAGCGCAACCATTTCAGAGTTAGGCAGAATGGATTTTGTCCTCGCCCAGATTCTGCTTTTGCAGTTGGAGCTTTTGTTGTGAAGTATTCTAAAATCATTAAAACCACTTGAGTCAGCAATGACCCCTATAAATCAGGAGCTATTGTGTGTGCCCTCATTCTACTGGTGCATGCTCCAAACATATGGTCATTGAAGATGAACTGGAGGCTCCTGCTTTCTCTTCGCCGATTGTTAAGTAGCCATGATTGTTGGCATTTTTTTGTGGTTAGTGAAGCAGGTTTCATTTTTGTGTGTCCTTCCCGTCTTCACCCCCTACCTCATATGATAAGGCTGATCAGAGAGACCTCTTCGGATACTCTGTTAGCCTGTCCTATAATTTTTATCTTTAATTCCCAAATTAAATGAATCCTCTTACATGACAAACATGTCTTTAGCCCAGGGTAATGTTCTTGGTTGTGGTAAGCCCTGGTTTTCTTTCTGAACCCAGAGGAGAAGAAATGTATAAATACTGCCGCCTTTTCAGAACAATGCCAACACGTCAGAGCCTGCGTTTCCACTTGTAAAGGGAAGACATGCCAAGTTATTAAACTCTTGCTCCTTCCAAGTCTGTCTCCTATTAGTTTGTAAGAATATGGGGTAGAATGGGGAGATGAGGGGGCCTCCAGGAGTAGCCCAGTTCTAGAGGCTCTCTTTGAAATGAAGGGGCAAAGACATCTGAGGAAGGTGTATTTGAACAGCTAAGCATCTCTTGGTCTGGTTTAGTCCCTTTTTCTGAAATTGGTCCTCAATCGGTTCATTACTGATTTTGGAGAGGTGTGAGGTTCTAAGTGGTTGGACGTTATCAAGTACTAGAGACAGCATTTCATGGGAAAGAAAATAGCGTTTCTGAGCAGAAAATAGCCCCAGCTCTGTCTTCTAGGCAGTAAGGAGTTCTGGGCTCCTGTCATAGATTGTGGGTATCAGATATTCAGGGTCAGCACAGTGTCTCCTTTTTATTTCGTTTCCCCCTTTCCAATTTTATTTTAATAATTAAAAATACTGCTGATCACACTGAATGACTTCTGGCAGAGAGGCCGTCTGTCCCAGAAGGACCAGTTGTGGGCCATCAGGTTTATGGCATCCATAAAACCGGAGCCAGATCAGAGCGCGGCCTCTCTGAGTGACAGGGTTTCTGCCTCCACCAGGGTCCCCCATCATCTGACTGCTTTGGACATTTGTTTGGGGTTGGTTTTTCGTTCTGTTTTGTTTCCTGATGCATGTGCGAGTGTGCGTGTGCACACATTTAAAGATAGAAATGAAACAGGTATGTAATGCCCTCTGCCTGTTAGAAAGACTAAAGCCATAAAAATAACAAACGGCGAGTATTTGCTAGAATGTCAGAGTTATGAGTTTATTTTGTAATGATGTGCTCCTGCCTTCATGAGGTAAACTGGCCGTGGCGGAGGTGTTATTAGTAATATGGACTCAGTGGAGCAGAAAGCCGAGTGACCGAGAGATCAGTGTATCAGTCAGGGAGAGGGCAAATGGAAAGAGACAGCAGGAGAATGAGAAAAGAGCCGCAGCGCCTGGGCTGAGATGAAAGACAGACCGAGAGGCGGATGGGAGCCCAGTGGTCAGATACGGCCTCCCTGGTTCTGGGGGCTCCTTCAAAGGAGCTGCTCCTGTGTTACTCAGCTCAGGGCTGCCTGCAAAGCCTTGTTCTCTGTGCTTCCTTAGCGAGGGAAACAGTAATCCGAGAGCCATTTTGCTTCCCGTATTCCTTTCAGAAGAGTCTCTTCCATCCTTCCTAGCTGAAGTTAAATGGGACCAAGGCCAGCTGGGTCACATGGAGGTCATTGCTTTGGCCACCACCTTCCTCAGTCTTTGGCGGGTCTTGATGTTGGGGCTGACCCAGCATGCAGGGGAACCAGCTCCTAACAGGAAGGGGCAGGCAGGATGGGAATATACAGGTAGAATTTGCTGGTCTTTCATTTATTCGCTTCTCCCCAGAGACTGGAAATGAATAAAAGTAAGGAAGAAATTTTGTGTTGTGGTTATTTTCTAAAGAAGGAAAGGGAAGAGAAAAGGTAAAATACAGTAAGCGCTCTACAACCATTAAGAGCTCTCCAGGGCTACCGTAGATGACTGGCAATTACTACACACTCAGAAGTTTGCAATAGTCAGTGATCAGGCTGCCCAGCGTCCATCTGCTGTGTCAGAAAACCTCCCTCCCTGAAAAAAATTATTAACCAATCTTCAAGGGAAAAAGAAACCCTACAATTTCCAAGTCGAAGAATATTTTTTCTTGCTTTTTTTTCTTTTTTAAAGGAAACTTTATGGTTTCCTATTGCAGATGCCCTTCAACCTCACAAGGGTTAAACTCCTCCAGGGATGGATACACCAGGGAATTGAGGCCCTGAATTCCCTGGAACCTTGGGAGGGAAGGACGCAGGAGAGGCAGGTTTGGGTATAAATCACTACCCTGCACCCAGCACACAAAGAGGACTGTCGGCTCAAGGGTTCATTCATGTATGTGTCATGAGTTGCTTCAGGATTTTGCTTTAAAAATCCAATGTAAAGGGGAAAATTAACCCTTAAAAAATGAGGCATCCAAACCTCACAGTGTTTCTATTTAACCGAGACTCATCACTTGAGGTTGTCAAAAGACAGGCACATTCCCTCTACTGTGCCTACAGGCAGCAGCTCGGCCAGGCCTGCAGGCGATGACATAGCCTGTGTCTCAGAGTCCCAGCTTTACCCACTGCCATGATTTCAGCTCAGAGTCAAGTATGCCATGCACATCTGTGGCAGCTAATAGAGAGAGAGAGAGGCTTGCTGGTGTTTAAATTGCAACAGAATATGTGATTGTTTAAAAGCCTTTTGTGTTTTCCAAGTTTTCTTTTTAGGACAAAGGTCCAGATAGTCCCTCAGCACAACCCACGGAGGCTGGACTCTGTCTTGTGGAGAAAAGAATCCATTTTAGTGGGAATTACGAAATAGACTTTGCCTTTCTCTCCGTCTGGACGAAATGTCTTTTCTCTTGTTTATTTCTCTAGGTCCTCGGAAGGGAAGTATACACCTCGAATAACCAGCTCGGGGGCATCCAGATCATGCACAACAATGGGGTGACCCACAGCACTGTCTGTGATGACTTTGAAGGGGTGTTCACTGTCCTGCACTGGCTGTCCTACATGCCGAAGGTAAGCCCTCCCCACTTCCTTCCAGCACCGAGGAAGCCCATAGCACCCAGCCTTTTCACCAGAGTTCACTGCCTCTGCGTGTGCGACTGTTTTATAGTAGAGGGATTTTTTTTACGATATGTTCTCTGGAAGCCGTTGATTTCTTTTTTTTTCTTAAAGCCATCTTTTGCCTCCTACCTTTAAAATGCCTTTGGATTTCATTGGTTAGGCCCGTTTCTGATGATTTCCAGCCACAGAAGCCTTCATGTCCTATCTGGGCTCAGATCCCAGCTTATTAAGGCTTCTTCCTCATTGTGGGTCTTCCCCTTTGTAATAGGTATCCATCCGTCTCGGGAGCTTCCCGGAGAGCCTGGGCACACTGAAATCAGGAGTCAGAATGCCCCACTTTCTGCCAGGCTCCTACATGAGACTTGAGAGCTGTACATGTTCCTCAGGGCTTGGCTCGAGATTAGGGTTCTTCTAGCTGATGATTGGGACTAACGGGTGTGACTCCATATGTGGTCCCTGCTGTCTTTGTCCATAACGATTGTTGCTGAGTTGGAGTTGTTCACTGACCGCTGTGCTCTTTCCCCCCACCCCAATCTCCTTTTAGAGTGTACACAGTTCAGTTCCTCTCCTGAATTCCAAGGATCCTATAGATAGAGTCATCGAGTTTATTCCCACAAAGGCTCCATATGATCCTCGCTGGATGCTGGCAGGCCGTCCCCACCCAAGTATGTACACATTTGAGGGTCTGTGGCACCCTGGCCCTCAAACTTCCAGTCTTCCTTTCAATCACTAACCAATTCCTGCACAATAGTATATGACAAAGAAAACAAAGCCACTGAAGTACCTGGAAATGAGGGAAATCTGAAAAACAGCTCTCTGAAGAAAACAGTGGAAAATCCTTCAAGAACAAATGAAAAATGAATGAAATCAGCCATTGAGTCATAAGCACTGGAGTCATTAATACATTTCTTTTCTGTTATTAGAGCACTTATTATTTAATGGGCTCAAAGACTTTAAAACAGTTAAATATAAGCCATAAAGTCATAGAATTACAGGACCAGAATCTTTGACCATCCAGTCTCTATAAACAGAGATTGATCAGATAAGTTTTGGAAAAGGTCTTTGAGACCCTTCACTATAGAGTGTGACTGCACTCTTCCCAGCAAGCTGTTGCGGGGCACCCACCCTGCATGTGCCCTTCTTCTCATATGATTTTGGTAATAGTATTGATCTGTGCCTTATTTATTAATGTAAGGTTGCTTTGTAAGATTATTTATTCATGAAGAGACTGTGCAGAACTTTTAATGTGATAACTGTATCGAGTAAGAACAAGCCCTCCCTCCATGTTTATCTAATATATCCCTCTGTCTTGGGGCTGATTTTACCAAACTTAAAAGGCAAAAAGAGGGAAAAAAGAGGTAACTCCACATAAGGCAAATGTACATTCTTGTTTGTCCATTTGGCAATTTTAACAAACCTTATTTAGTGGGAAGTTCTTTTGTGAAGCCCCAAATCCCCCTGCTACATTTTTTTTTTTTTTTTTTTTTTCCTTGCGTTATGCAGGCCTCTCACTGTTGTGGCCTCTCCCATTTGCGGAGCACAGGCTCCGGACGCGCAGGCTCAGTGGCCATGGCTCACGGGCCCAGCCGCTCCGCGGCATGTGGGATCTTCCCGAAACGGGGCACGAACCCGCGTCTCCTGCATCGGCAGGCGGACTCTCAAGCACTGTGCCACCAGGGAAGCCCCCCCCCTGCTACATTTTGAATCTATTTTTTTTAGGCTTTTTGAGAAAGTGTTTGTTCTTTTTCCCATGTTTGTTGCAACTGTTTCCTCCCAAAAAGGCTATATCTAAAAGAAGAATGGAATGCAGATGATAATTCCTTAAACTTAAGAGTCATTGTGATTTTGTTGAAAGAGAAAGAAGTCTTCATAAGGAAGACTTAATAAACCTTTGTGGGCACCCACTAAGCCAGGTGGGCCTGTAAAGCACTCCCATATACACTGTCTTATTTGGACTTACTACTTCTCAGAGATAAGAAGAGATGACCATTTTACAGGCTCAGAGAAGTTAAGTGATTTGGGCAAGGTCTCACAGCTAATACGTAGGAGTTGGGCTTAATCTGAAGCCTAACTGTATATAGCGTAAAAAAATCACCAGATGGGCTTCCCTGGTGGCACAGTGGTTGAGAGTCCGCCTGCCGATGCAGGGGACGCGGGTTCATGCCCCGGTCCAGGAAGATCCCACGTGCCGCAGAGCGGCTAGGCCCGTGAGCCATGGCCGCTGAGCCTGCGCGTCCGGAGCCTGTGCTCCGCAACGGGAGAGGCCACAACAGTGAGAGGCCCGCGTACCGCTAAAAAAAAAAAAAAAAAAAACCACCAGAGGAGGGCTGACTTTAATTTAAAATGTTACCTGTTGTCTTCAATGCCTTTTCTTGTTAATCTTAATAAAACTAAATACTTTTTCTTACATCACCAGAAAAATCACCATAGTAATCTTTTTCCCTACCTCCTATTTTTATACCAAGATTTATAATAAGAACTATGAACCTAAGATACCTCTCAGCCTTAAAATACAGGACTTTTCTGGCAGAATTCAGAACAAGACTTAGTGAGTGTTCTCCTGGGAATTACGGGGTGCCATGTTAGCTGGCTTCTAAGTTCTACATCTGAATTGAACATGACCTGCTCTTCTTTGAGGAGGCCCAGTAAAGCCCACCTGCAATGGCCAGAGCCCACTAATGACTCCCCTCTGTCAGTCAACATATAAGACAGGAGGGGTTTTAAAGAAAAACAATTTCCATTTTGAAATGAATTCTGTGGTTCCAAATCATTACTATTGAAGTAAGAACCATCAAATGATCCAAGCATATAAAGTTAAAATTTCAATATCCTGATGCACTTAGAAGTTTGGTTTAGAACCTTTATCAAAATTTGAGCCCTCTTTCATAGGGTGAACAGGTGTGTGTGTGTGTGTGTGTGTGTGTGTGTGTGTGTGTGTAGATGGGCATTATCCTGGCTATTATTAATGAGATCCACAGAATAAAATGAATTTGTGATAAACTAAGTTTTCTGGGTTTGGGATAATATTTTTTCATCGACTCCCTAGTAATTCATCCTGCTGTCTCTTGTGCAGCTAACACTCGCTCCCAAATCGAGTGACTGCAGATTTTAATTTAGTGGAAGCGTTAAAGAAAGCAGATGATTCCCTGTGATAAGTTAAAGCAGATATCTTCTAGGTGAAAAGTTAAAGTCATTTATTAGAGGAGATAGTGCCGTGATATTCTTCAAACTGATGCCCAACACGAGACCAGAATCTAAACGATCGGCTTTGGGCTCATGATAGAGAGATAATTTTGAAATGGATGATCACATTTTACACTGGGGCCATAGAGGCAAGGAATGTAGAACACAGTAATTACAAGTTGAGTCTTGATAAAACACTCTCCATCCTGTTTAAGTCAGCAGAGGTTAGCTTGCTCGGATCTCCACTTTTAATTGGTTTTGGGCTTGAGTTTTTAGGGGGCGGAGGGCCATGTTCAAATTAGAAGACTTGCTGAGAAACTATGAGCCGAGAGGGCAGCCAGGAAACAGTTATTTGCAGAAGCTTTTATGGGGCCTTGGTCAAACATGGATACCTGTGGAACAGAAGTTGTTTATCTTAAACTAAGATGTTGAAAGTTTATGTGTCTTGCCAGTGAAGGAAATTCTATGCACAAAGGAGGTTAATGACATTGTGTTCATCTGAACCATTATATTTTTGATACCTATCAAGAGTATACAGGCATGGCCCTTTCTTGTAGTAAGATTATACTTTGTGAGCAGTAAATAAAGTGGATGTATCTTGTTGCTTTTCTAGCAGAGAAGCTGAGTCCCTTTTCCTCAAATTTGGGTCCTCATCTGATCACTAATACTTATCATTTGGCTGTCTTCAGCTTTCCATTAAAATAAAATCATTGGAATCAAACAAAATTGTAAGCTAAGTTTTAAAATAGAAATACACATCTTGAAAACATCTTTAATGACTTAGCTGCCTTTTGACAAATGTTTGTGGTGTTTTGAAAAAAGCCAGGTTATTTATTTAAAAGACGCAAACTCTCTCGGCTAGCTGAACCCCATCGTTTAACAATAAATGATGCTTTTGCTGATAAATGATTCTTTTTATTCAGACTAGCAAATGAAATAGGAGATGAGGTCTGAAGGCAGATGAACATTCAGCGGCCTAATGTTTCCATCTATTATAATACGTTTAAAAACAAATAACCCCCCCAAATCCAACCTTCAATTTGCCAATTCTAGTGTATTTTGAATGAATTGACCATTTTGATTTCCTGTTTTCTTTCTTTCCCTTCTGTAGCCCAGAAAGGTCAGTGGTTGAGTGGATTTTTTGACTATGGCTCTTTCTCAGAGATCATGCAGCCCTGGGCACAGACTGTGGCAGTTGGCAGAGCCAGGTAAGAGCTCTTTTGTTTTGGAAGCTCTTTTTCCTCCCAACTAAAAACAAGAAAAGAAAGGGCTGTATAGGTTTTTACCTATAATGTTCTCTTTGTCTAAACTTTCTCAGAATACTGGATTATAGTCATGCCCAAGGCAGCATAACTGGAGCACGGGTTCCCAGTGGTCATTTAGCGTGTCACTCTAATGATGCGTTTAATCGGAAGTCTGGTTTTGGCAACATTTCCTTTTCATAATACCGAAAGCAAAGCTCCCTGGGAATGTACAGCCCAACCACAATAGCCATAGCTCACCAGTGACCCCCCACTCTATCCCCCAAAGACCATTTTCTTTCAGGAGTAGATGGCCAGTGAATCAGACTCATCTACTTCTCTCTGTAACCCACCCAAAAGATCTGTGTAACCGGAAGAAGTTCCTTCATGGCATTGAGATTATTCAAGTAACAAATGCACTGTACTGGCTTATCATCAGACTTGAATTGAAAAAAAAAAAAATTTACCTGAAACAGGAGTGGGTAAAATAAGCTGGAATAGGTTGCAGGGATACCTCTAGTTTTCAAGGGGGAAATTGAAGTTTCTATTAAATTTTAATACCCACTCTAAGAAGTGCTTCACTCAACAGCGAGCTCTGCACGAAATAATCTGCCAGGCTCGCCATAACGAGCACCTGCCGAGGCTGATCTTAATCTGGCTCCGCACCTCGGAGACTCGCCTCCCCGGGGACCCACATCTGGAGCTCACCTTCCTCTCGGGGGCAATCAGGTTTCCTTATCCTGGTGAAAAGTGGCACCTGCCCAAGATTCTCAAACATGCCACACTGGGTTGAGATTTAGATTCCAGCCTCGAAAATAATTCTATGCTTTGTGGTGCTCTCCGTCCAGCAGGTCAGCACGCCTTGTGCTGCCAGTGACCAGGAGCCATCAGATGGCAAATCCCACCAGGCGGGATCTTTCACTGGGGCTCTGAGTAAGACTAAGCCTGGAGTCTGCCTGGACCAAGACTCCCAGGGACCAGCTCCCATCTTCTCCGGCCTCCCAGGCTTCTGCCGCACCGCAGGCTTCCGAGTCCCAGTGAGAGTTATTCTTTGTGCCTGGCAGAACTCCCACTGGGGAGAGAGCCCCCCCACTCAGGGCCTACTGGTTTGTTAGAGAGAGTCTTCACAGGACACTACAACCAACTTTTTTGAGACTGTGTCTCTTATCCATTCTGCTTCAGTTTTCCCGTCCTTAAAAAACATGACCGAGAAAGCCAGACCTTTGTTAAGGTCTTTAAGATCCTCCCATGGGAAACAGGAGAATAATGCTTTATTTTACACTTACGATTGGAAGAACAGACTGTTCTGTGAGCAAGTTCAGTCCAGCTTGGCTTTGGTTAGCTCTGCCATTGTTTATTGCGACGCTCACTCTGACTTCTTTCTTTCTTTCCATCTGATGAGTTCTGGGCTTCTTACTCCAAACACATACACATGGTCACAAGTATATAAAACACAAATGGAGCTAGCTTCTTTCAAAAGCAGTGGCATTTCGAGAAATAAATATAAATGTATTCTTCTGGGATTGTTACTGTAAGTGCTGCCAAAACTCATCTTTGGTATGTATGTTTGGAATATATGTGCTATTGGCTGTAAATTGTCTTTTATTATTCCATGGCACCTTGTCCAGGGACACACTATAAAACAAGATGTAGCATCTTCATGTGCTAGCCTGATAAAATTTATATGTAGTATAATAGAAAACAGAAGTTGTTCTGAGCTGTTTTCAAGTTCAATAAATAACTGTAATACTCGGATAAAGATGTTCTTTATTAGGTCACATGGGCCCTAATATATAAGTTATAAGTTACCGATTTAGGGTGGCTTTTGCAATTACAAGTTTCCAGTTGGATTGTTAATCATTGTGAACAGAAATATTTCTAAACCCTCCTGTGTACCTTCTGCTCGTTGTCTGATTGTCTAGAGGGCTTTTGATTCTGATTCAGTGCAGGCAAGTGACAAGGGGGTGGGTGGTCCCCACTCAGGCCCCTGCCAGGCCTCTTGTGATGACAAGGATCCATTTCCAGTAGCCAGTGTAACAACCAAAGACCATCCTTCATGGAAAAGTTTGTTATGGAGCTGCTGTGGGGAATGAGAGACTATAACCCGTTCCAGCCCCAACCCCAAGGAATGCGGCTGAGAAGGTAAAGATTGAATCACGTTTTCCAGAGTGAGGACTCACCCTGTACCTTGCAGGCTCGCTCACACTCGCTTTCTCATTCTCCTCCTGATTTTTACTAGGAAATCTTTATGAGGACCAAGTGTGGGAGGGTATCGTGGAGGTACAGATGCAGAGGCTTTGAGCTCCTGAACAGTTTTTTAGATTAACAGAGCTTGGAGATTAAACTTATCCTTCCGGTATAGATCACCTATTCAACCAAGATGACTTCTGAAGGTTAACCCTGTCCCACTGCTCTTTTCCAACGGAAGAGAAAGTTCAGGCCTTGTTCAACCACCTCCCTACACTTGGCACATGTTTTTCATCATCCTCGTAACACACCTGCACCCTCCCCATCCACACGCCCAATGGTAAGACCTACTGTACCCTCAGATCTTACCAGGAACCACGTTATCAATACTCCGTAGAAAACTACAGGTCTGTTCCAGCAATGAAGTTTCAGGTTCCTACTGCCTTTCAGACTGTTCCCCTTCATCTTCACCAAAGACATTCTGTAGGGTGAACTGAGAAATTTCACTTGGCAACCACAGTGATGGTGTGTGTGTGTTCATTTGTGTGTGTGTACAAGATCTCACACACGTACTAGGCTGTTGAGTCTAAATGCAGAGGCTCCCCTGGTACCACCCTTGGTTTGAATTTATCCTGTGGTGGAGAATAGGAGTGATCCTGAGGGCAGAATCAGTTACAAGTTATGATTTACCAATCATATTTGGTAAATATGCAGTTTCCCTCCATATTTACCAAATTTACCATTTTTACCAAATCTGTAGAGTAACATCTTACCCCCAGAAAAGTCAGATTTCCCCGACCCTATATTTGTTTCCACATCCCCCTCCATCAATGTTTTGACGTAGGATTGGAAAATAAATGACTAGCTGTAACATAGACATACAGTGGGTTCTTATGTGGCTCATTTTTTATCAGGCTAGGAGGAATACCCGTGGGAGTAGTTGCCGTGGAAACCCGAACCGTGGAACTAAGTATCCCAGCTGATCCTGCAAACCTGGATTCTGAAGCCAAGGTAGGTCACCTCAAGTACCCTGAGCGCCCATGCTTGGAGCTGTGTTTCCGCCTCTGCAGAGCCGTGGATATATTGGGAGCATTGCAAACCACCAATTTTAGAGGAAAGGGCGGCCAGCAGCCTTGAATGATTTCAGGCCATCACGAGCTCACTTTTAAGATGACTCGAAATGGACCACAAGCTAAATTCTGCCTGAAAAATTAAATGGGCCTTTACAGTGGTCTTGTTGTTGCTAGAAAACAGCCGTCTTTTGTTGGGTATGTGGTCTTCTAGAAAGGCAGCTGAGATGATGCTGAGGGCCCACTGGTCCTGGTTCTCCAAGCACTCGTGGAAGAGCTCCTACTGGAATTAATAAGGAAGTCTGCCCCGACACCAAATGTGAAAGCCACAGCCCATCCTTTTTTTTTCTTTTTTTCTTTTTGACTGCGTTGGGTCTTCGTTGCTGCGTGCGGGCTTTTCTCTAGTTGCAGGGTGCGGGCTTCTCCTTGCAGTGGCTTCTCTTGTTGCGGAGCATGGACTCCAGGCACGTGGGCTTCAGTAGTTGTGGCATGCTGGCTCCAGTAGCTGTGGCTCGTGGGCTCTAGAGCATAGGCTCAGTAGTTGTGGCGCACAGGCTTAGTTGCTCCGCGGCGTGTGGGATCTTCCCAGACCAGGGCTCGAACCCGTGTCCCCTGCACTGGCAGGCGGATTCTTAACCACTGTGCCACCAGGGAAGTCCCATCCTTTTCAAAAGGGTGGATTAAGTCTTCACAGCCTGACAAGGGGTCGGGGAGACGAGAGGAGCTTATGCAGCAGGGCTACCTCAAGCGCCGCTGACTAAGCACAGTACAGGGAAGCTGTACCAGGCACAGAGGTGAGAGCACGTGGAGATTCTGACCAGGGGGCTTGCTTGGAGCTGTGTGGTCGAGTCACTTAAACTTGCCCTAGGAAGCCTAGAAGGAGGATGCCTCAGGCTGCATCCTTCCTTTGGAAGCAGTAAGGTTTCCCCCTTTGGACTAAGGAGGGGTGGGTGGTGGAATCAAGACTTAGGAAGAGGAGTATTTAACAAAGTCAAAGAGCCAGGATCCTTTCTTCTTTTTTATTTCAAGGATGATCTTCTTGATGAACAACAACTTTGGTTTGGTTTGATTTTGAGTTTTTAACAGTAAAACTTTATTCTCTCTGGAGAGATTCCCCTTCAAACTGTGTTGTTAATTGTGTCTTCTTTGGCTTTTCCTAATAGATAATCCAGCAGGCTGGCCAGGTTTGGTTCCCAGATTCTGCGTTTAAGACCTATCAGGCTATCAAGGACTTCAACCGTGAAGGGCTGCCTCTGATGGTCTTTGCCAACTGGAGAGGCTTCTCTGGTGGGATGAAAGGTGATTGGATTGGCCTGGCCCTGGGCTGGAGGGGCATCACTGATTCCCTTGAACACTGCAGCGGGAGGAGAAAGGGTTTATATTGGGTTTATATGAGTGTCCTGATGGCACATCAGCCTAGGTTTTTGGGCGATTATGCTCCCTCTGAGATATCTTCTGAGTTGTAACTTGAATGGGAAAATTCTATTTTTACAATTCCATACAAAATTTCAGAGCTATCTAGGCATTATCTAGGTGGACTGCTGATTTAGCTTTCACAGGTTAGTGATGGACTGTTCTGATGGTCCTGGGGAAATACAATTGTCCTAGTCTCTGTCCCTCTTTTCTGGGCATACTCTTTGTTGGTGTTCATCTTTAATGCTCTATGATGACCAAGATAGATACTGAAATTAGCCGTCACCAGAAGAAAACGAACAAATTCTAGACCGGAGGCTTTCCCTTTGTGGCAGTTTGTGATATGTTTTATTATTATCCAACAACAGCCCTGGGCCTGTGGCTCCAGCATATTAGACCATTATTATAAAGGCTCTGCTCAGTGCCAGAACTGCCAGTTACTGAGAATCCTCCGTGTGAATGGTTCAGGGAAACACCCACTACCTCTCAAGAGTCGTGAAGCTTTCTCTCCAATGGCCAGAGATTCGGCCAGAGATGTGGCGGCCAGAGACCACATGCCGGGAGGGGATGAGTATGCTGATAAATGTCAACTTTATTCCTCAGGGAAAACTCTAGAATGGATTAGGGGAATAGACAGAGGGAGGAGTTGATACTGCTGGAGTGAAAAGAGTGATCAGAGGTAGGACATGTAAAATGTGAAAGAAGAACTCTCAATAAGGCACCCAGAAGTAGCTTGGGGCAGGAGCATCTCTAGCTTTGAGGGAGGAAAAGCGTGGGGAAGTTACCCTTTTATAGGTTATCAGCTGTGCATGGAGAGAGGTTAGAGCCTTATGCCAACAACTTTCCCTTACCTGGCTAAGAAAACCCCTGCCTGTATGGCCAGCCTCCCTGCCCAAATGTAGATGAGTAGGGCGATTTTTTTTGTTTTCTGTTTTAGTTGAAAAGGTCCCCTTTGTCTATATTTACTGGACAACTACCACATTTTGCACTTTCTTTGGAGAAACGTGGACTGTACATGCAAATTAGTGTTTGTATACTTTCCTAAGCTACTCCAGGTGAGTTACTTTTTGACCAAGATAATAAATCAGTGGAAATACCATGAGATATTGAGAGTATAGGTTAAACAAGTCAATCCTACACATTTTTATTGAGTCCCTATGTGCAAGGAGCTATGCTAGCTAGCCACTTCACAGAAAACAAAAATAAGTCAGAAAAGAGTCTTGAAGCCTGAAGGAGTCAAGAAGAATGTCTTGTGCAGAAAGTTAAACCCATAATGTATAAAGTATAAACAAAATACCACAGTGTTTCTACCAGACGTAAAATAGATAGCCAGTGGGAAGCAGCCGCATAGCACAGGGAGATCAGCTCGGTGCTTTGTGACCACCTAGAGGGGAGGGATAGGGAGGGTGGGAGGGAGGGAGACACAAGAGGGAAGAGATATGGGGACATATGTATATGTATAACTGATTCACTTTGTTATAAAGCAGAAACTAACACAACATTGTAAAGCAATTATACTCCAATAAGGATGTAAAAAAAAAAAAACAACCACAGTGTTCAAAGGAGGATGATACTATATGGGGGCGGGGGGCGGAGGAGGGGGTGGCTGAAATCCCTTTCATTTATGTATATGAGATTCATTTAGTATCAGATTTCACTTGATCCCAGATTCCCTTGCTGTAAGATTTACATTAAGACTTGGGAGAGAATGCAATGCTATTACTCCTTAGTTACCTCTCTTCTGGGGAGCCATTGAGAATTCACTCATCCTGACATTACTTAGAAGACATCAGCCTGGCTATTTTGTCCTAACGAATTTAGACCTCAAAAGTTTGCAATGTGCCGCTTGTAGGGGAATCTTTAATTCTGCGAGGTATTTTGGCTCAGGCCCAGATTGGCTGCCCGCCCTATAACCATAAGAGCATCAACAATTAAGATTCATTGAGCTCTTTTCACCAGAAACTGCACTAACCATTTTACATGCATTATCTTACATAATCATCACAACAAGCACCTCTAAGGGGTAAGTTATATTATTATCCACAATTTGCATAAATTGAGACTTAGGTTAAGTAAATTTCCCAAGATCATTTAGCTAAAAAATGAGAACACAGACCTGTCTTACTTCCTGTAGCACAATTTAGAGCCTAGGGCCAGAACCAGATCTACTGGAATATCCCAAGAATAGAATATCTAGGTTCCTGAGAAAGTAATTATCCACCTACCGCCCCTCTGCTTTGGGGTTATTGTGACAGGAAACTGCAAGAGCTCAGAAATGAGTTTTGGGTTTTTAATTATAAAATATACATAACATAATATTTATCCTATTAACCATTTGTAAGTGTACAGTTCATCAGCATTAAATACATTCACAATGTTGTGTAACCATCACTACTGTCTGTACCCAAAACTTTTTCATCATCCTCAACATAAAGTCTATACCCATTAAATAGTAACTCCCCACTCCCACCCCCCCGTCCCTAATCAAAAACGAGTTATTGGCCTGACGTGGAGCAGGACCAGCTCTGTTTTCTGAATTTTGCTGCTGCTGCTGCATCTGTTTACACGTCACTTAAGACAGATAAGCTTTGGGGAAGATGGAGATCAGTGTGAAGGTAGGAGGGGAGGAACAGCCCCCCCCCTTTCATATTTACATGCAGGCCAAGATGTTTTCTGTGTATTATCTCATGTAAAGGGACCAAAGCTGAGAGTCATTCCATATCCCTTGGGGAGATGTTTGCAGTTTTGGTTTCAATACTGGCTGGGGATTATGCAGGGAGGGAAAATAAACAATTATGCCATCCCTGAGTGCACACAAACACACAGCCAGGAGCCGACTGCACTGTGGGTAAAATGACTCCAAAATTGTGTGTAATGAGTAGGAAAAGATTAGAGACAGCTCTTGCTATGCTGAAAATTGACATTAGTGGAGGGGGGAAAAATAACCTCTTTACTAGTCGGCCTAGGAGGTCTAATTCAAGCAGTAAAAATATAAATAAATAAATAAAAGCATGTCAAGATGGTATTGGTGCTTTTTTTCCAATGAGCTCTATCTGGCCGGAAGGCTATTCAGCATAATGCAAAATTAAATTATAAAAACTGGCTGAATATTTAGATGGAAGAGCCATTTGGAAGCAGTTTGTTTAGACGAACCAGCAATGACCCACAACAGGGAGACATCAAGCATGAAATTTACTAGAAATTAGCACCAGGGTCCCAGCCTCAGCATGAATAGCTTGATAGGATGCAAATCCCAGTGATATTAAGCTGCCTCACTGCTGGTGCTACAGGGTCACTCTCAGTTGGCTTTTCATGTTATACTTATTATTTTTTCCTGGGACAGGTTATAAATAACAATAAAAAACATTTATTGAAAACTTTTAACTGGAATGAAAGTCTATTATAAAGTCTCTGATGACTTGGATGCTGAAATACAGTGTCAGCCGGCCATAATGAACTCATGAGAGACATTATGTGTATGCAGCTTGTGTATGCCTGATGTCTACCTTCGGCTTCTAACAGATAATCTCACCTCAAGCCAATAAGATCTGTTCCAGTTTTGCGAGAGCAGAGCACTGTGGAAACACCCTACCGCCCTGCTCCCTTGTTTGGTACATGCGGCTGCTGTAGTGTATCCCTGTTGTGTAACAATGAAGGCTCCGGGCAGGGTTGGCGCCTGGGTGCTAAGAACAGGCTGGAAAGGCTATGTGCTCACCGTTCATGCAGATGTGCTTTGCTCAGAATGCTTAGAAAGCTGCAGGCGCCCCCCTCTCCGAGGAAGAAGCTTTCAGTATTTTCCATATTCCCATCGCATTTCTCAGGGCCTGAGAATTGACAGTCAGCATATGCATAGCTTTACAGTTCCCTAGACTGATGTCTAGCCTAAACCCTTGGGGATCCGCCTTCCCCTGCTGATCTTGGCTATGCTTTTGCTCTGTCTCTTAAATATGAAGGGATTTCAAACAAATATGTGTCAGATTGTTGCCAAGCGCTTCAACCTGCCTTTCAGGAATGTGTGGTCTGGGGCAGCTGTGAATCAGTACAAGCATATTGATTGTAGAATTTGTGTGTTTGTTTATATTTTAATAGCCTTTGTTGCCTTTGGAGTGTTTTGATGATTCGGATAGTGGGGTGTTGATGTTCCAGGTTAGATGGAGGCGTTTTTTCCAAGTCCCAAGCTTGTCAGCTTCAATGAAGCTTGATGCCCCTTTTCTACTCACAGTCTTGGGGCCTGAAGATAATTGTTTGGCAGTTGGATCCATGCCCTTCACAGAGCTGCTAGTATAAGTTCTGATATCTCTGAACGTACCAAAAATCCAGGCAAAATTTAGAAATACTCATTTATTCAAGTCTCTTTTCTGGCTTCTATTTTACTGAGCCCTTGTATCAGATGCTGGAAAGCAGATTACTTCAGCCTCCTGCTCTTTCCTCGCCTTAAGAGGGATGTGGACTTAAGAGACAAAGAGATCTGGGTTCAAAGTCTCAACTCTGCCACTTACTCACTTAAGCCTCAGTTTACTCACCTGTCACTTGGGTATGAGAAAAAGAAGAGTTTTCTGATGATTAAATGATTTACGTGTGTGTGTGTGTGTATGTAATCATGCTCCCTCGTATGCAGTAAGCTAGCCATGAAGACGAAAAGAGGGACCAAAGTCCATTTCACAAAAATAAAATGCACACATACTCAACTTTATCCCAAACAATTTGCTTATACTATGAAATTAAGTTTTGTTTTGTTTTAATTAAATACATGGAAGTACATTTTGAATAAAGTCCTCTCCTTTTTTGGGAGCTGAGTGTGTTCATCATAGTACAGAGCTGGATTTTGTTGTAGACATGTCTTTAACAAACAGAAGTGAGTGAAGAGGCTGGAAACGCTGTCATTTACCTCTTAACTTACTTTTTTTTCACATAGCATGACTTTTTGGGTGCCATTTGCTCTTGTTTCACTTTCTCCTTTTATCTCCACCTCCCATTTCTTCTCCGCACGTGATACGGTTGAGAGCCACTCCTTCCTGTTACTCATTCTGAGACTGTACTCTTGGCAGCACTGAAAAATGTACTGCTAATTACACAATTATTTTATTATGTCGCACTGGTTGAAATATCCACTAAAGAATTAATTTAGTTAAAATAATTTGAACTGAGCAATTATTTTCATAACCACGGAATTAGCGTAAAGCGCTTAAAGTCCTTTATTCCCTGCTCTTCATACAGCAGTTGTGTAATTAGCAGTAAATTTTTTTGGTCTTTGCTTTCCTCCCAAAGGAATAAATGTCTTTGTTCTGATCATATATACAGAGTGTGTGACCATTCACATTCTACATTAGAGTAGGGAGTTTTTCCTGGGGCAACTTCTGAGTTTTTGGAATTCCTTCACAGACCAGCCAGCCAGGTTGGAGCAATGGAGAAAGGCATAGGCCTTGCAGAGAACTGTGCTCACCCATGGTTTCTATACAGAGAGCCATTTTTACTTTGGAGAAGGTAGAGGTTTAATTTGCCAGTAACTACAGTGAAAGCAATTTCTCTTTGGTTTGCTCTTAAGTTCCTGAAAAATGCTTCTTTGCTTTGGGTTTCCAGATTGATTTATTCCAAATTGAGATCCTCTCTTTGTTAGGAAAGTTTGAACTCAGTTGAACCTGTTATTTGGTGTTTCAGAAGGATCCACTGTGGTTCCACTGCAATACTCCTTAAACATCTGGAATCATAAACCTAAAACTTCAGCAGTGTTTAGACTTCAGTGAGCTAGGAAATGGGAAGAAGTCATAAATTATTGGGAAATAAATAACTGATCCTGCTTTCCAAGGACTGACTCTGTTTATGCACCAAGGGTCCCTTTTCTTCAGGCTGCACCTGACCTTGGGGGGATTACAAAGCGTACTCTTTATCAGAAGAAAGAGGTGGCTCCTCTTTTTGTGTGGCTGTGTGATAGTTCCAATAAATACATAAGCACTTAAATTTTTTTCTCATTGGTACCCTGATAAAATGCAACTGATAAAGAATTAATTTTTTCTTTCTCGCTGTGTTCTTTACAAAGCATGCGTGTGCTCACTCATTTATTCAGCAGACACTTACTGAGCACTAACTATGTTCTAGGCACTGGACAGGACCCTGGGGATGCAAAGATGAAAGATGCAGTTTTTGAAGATAAAATTTTTGAAGGATGCATTTCCATTAGCTGTGCATTTTAAGGGCTTATCATATGCTAAGTATCATGAGAAGAATTGAAAAGAGCTTGAATAGTTCCTTCAGAAAACTTAATGTAGTGAGAGAGATCACATATTGACATGAAAAATACTCAACATTTGTAGAGCGCGTGTGAATTAATGTGGTGAAACCTGAGTACAGAAATTCAGGGAAAATGTAAAATGGATATGCAGTCCATAGGGCCTGCACCCTGAATCTGGTGAAAGGCAGTGCACTTCTGTCATACTTTTGAAGATCCTGTGGAGTCTTAAATAGAATACAGATGGAGACACCAATTGCTTTAGTCTTCAGTGGGGCCAAACGGGACCTGGGGCAGCTGCACCCCCAGACCTGTCACCTCTGGCCATGAGCAGCCTTACTCCTCTGTGTGTCACGATGTGAGCAGTGTTCGGAAGCACTGCTTCATGGTTTCTAATTTGTCTCATTCTCCACAGATATGTACGACCAAGTGCTGAAGTTTGGCGCTTACATCGTGGATGGCTTACGGGAGTGCTCGCAGCCTGTGATGGTTTACATTCCTCCACAGGCCGAGCTCCGGGGTGGCTCCTGGGTCGTGATTGACCCCACCATCAACCCGCGGCACATGGAGATGTATGCTGACCGAGAAAGCAGGTAGTGCTCCTTCCTTGTTTCCACTCGTTGCCTCTGGGGGGTCCTCTAGCTGTTGGCTTCCTCCTGGAGAGCATTATAAGCAAGGGACCTTTATTTGAATCTGTGTATCCCCAGAGGGCTCCAAGGTCAGAAAAATAGGCTTTCTAGAAAGCATCCGCCAGCATGAGAAGGGAACCAGGCTGGAGTCAGGCTTTCCCAGTGTGATCCCCACCCCAGATTCTTTTACCATGAAGTCCTCTATCCAGGCACCCCCAAACTCTGAGAGACCCTCTCCTGTATGTTGTTCAGATATACCTATTCATCATCTCTTTCTTGGGTATGTGGCAGAGGGAGCTTAAAGCGAGGTGGAGCGGAAGGACCGAGTTGTTAGTCTGGAGTTCTGGGGGCTTCCCCAGGCCCTGCCGCTGACTAGTGAGGAACTTGGAGCGGTCCTCGCTCTCCCTGGGTTGCTTCTCCTTGTCTGTGGAACGACCTGGGTGGCCATCGAGGTGCACCACGGCACCTGCATTCTGTGGTTCCAACCAGAGCTTGTCCCCCACAGCGCAGTGCCTCACTCTGGCATTCGGGGAGGCCTGGAGAACACAGTGTTTGCAGCACAAAGAGAACTGCAAGAGAAAATCCCAAGCTTCTGTTAGGCATTGGCACCTGCAACACTTAAGTCCAGCTTCCTTTCATAATCTGCTTTCAGCCCTTTTGTAAATCTCACATCATATCTCCTTGACATTTTCCATGCCAGTTCCTACATCCAATCATTTTATTAGAGCACCTGTGTCTCTCTTTTCCCAAAAATTTCAGCCTCTTATTTCAAAAACTGCTTAAGAGAGTCCAGTGGTTTTATTGTCAAATCACTAGGCTAGCGTTCTATACTTAGGGGCTTACTTTTAAGTGCTAACTTAACTCCTGATCTGATATCAGATGGGAGACAAGTCCTCTGCAGACTTTAGAACAAGACTGTATGGTTTTAAATCCAGCTCTGTCACTTGTTAGCCTTGGACAAGTCTCCTAACATCCCGTACCTTAGTTTCCTCCTCTATGAAATGGGGATAATAGTACCTTACTTCATAGTGGATATAGACTGGGCATGGGATTGTCATAAAGATTTTTACGTTGACCTTAGAACAGTGCCATGCACAGAGTAAGCATTAGCTGTAATTTTTTTTTTTTTTTAATGTAGAAAGTCTTTAAAAAAAAGTGTGTAGGGTAAAGTTCCTGGTAATAGAACATCATTAGTATGCACTAGAAGTGACCCCGAAACCTATGACATTTCCATAGCAGCAGGGTGCCGTCCCTGTGTAGGACCAGTCAGCACCCCGCCACTCCCTCATTGCATGGCCTGAGTGATGGAGACTGTTCCTCTGCCACTGCGGCTACATCCACTTTTTTTTTTTTTCTGAAAAACGTGATTCCTGTTACCCTTATCAGCTGTAGGTGGTGGACTCTGTATTCTTCTCCCTTTGAGATGGAAGTAGACTGATGTCATAATAAGAATTATTTTAATTGCTTTTTGCCAGGCCTTTCTCATACCCCACTTAGACTCTTCTCTGGTGCCTGCTTCTCTCCCTGGGGTTCCCTCTGTGAACTGTGGGTGGGTAAAACCATAATGAAGCTATTTCCTGGTCCACAGATTGTAACTGGCCTCATTCTGTTGTCTCCTTCCTTTAAAGTGCTTCTATTTCTGTTTTGTTTTGTTTCCTTTCCTTTCTCTGTGATCCAGGGGATCAGTTCTGGAGCCAGAAGGGACAGTAGAAATCAAATTCCGCAGAAAGGATCTGGTGAAAACCATGCGTCGGGTGGACCCCGTCTACATCCACTTGGCTGAGCGATTGGGTATGTCTGCTTGTCCTCCTGGCAAATCAATGAGCCGTTCAGCTGATTTGTAATGAGTGCATTCATAGGCCAGGGGAGGAGGCACTGAAGCATTTGATCAAATTCATGATCATCTTTATTTACTGTCCTCTCTATGGTAAGAACCCTGGTAGAATGAAATAGTGTGTGTAATAGGAGGGAAAGTGGGCCCTTAAAAAAGCAAAAGTCACCCGATTTTTTTCTCCTGATATTTCCTTATAGTTCAAACAACCCATCTTTCTAGGCTTGTGGATGTCCTTGTAAAGAATGCTTAGCTGGAAGTTGCTGTTGGGGGCAGGCTGATCAGGCAGAGAACATGCTAGGCTTAAGTATCCTGTTTCTGCTTGTCTCTCTGGACGAGCCTGCCTTGTTTCTGAAGAGTCAGTGTCACAGGATGGAAAAGCCGGAGGCCTACCCAGGCGGCATCCTGGGGCCATCCTGAGCTGGAGAAATGGAAGTAAAAATTGTACACTGTGCACTTAAAATAGAGGCTGAGCAGCAGAATCCCTGGGAGCATTTGCACCCCATGCTTTCAGCCGTTACTGTGTCGCTCATTTGTTTCTGGAGCTTTTGGAAGGCGCTTGCAATTTGAACATTAGACTAAACTGTGGGGGCCCTGTGTCAAGTCCAGAGTCTGAATGAGTTTCAGAGTCTCTTAAAACACTGATTTTCTGCCCAGGTCTCCCATTGAGCCCTTTGCTCTGTTAGTAAAGATAATGGCTTAAGGGTCTTTTGTTTGTTGGTTTGTTTTGTTTTTGTTTTTTAAAGACAACAGGGAGATGGTCTTTAAAAGGTAGTGAAACTGAGTGAATGGAAGACATAAAAAAGAGATGCTAGCTCATTTATGTTCCAAATAGTAAGTTAATTAATAAAGTACCATTTGTGAACTCTTTACATCCTCACCATCCAGAGACACAGAAACTTCTGAGAGTTTGCCTGCCCTCACCCTAGAGACCCTGCACGTCCTGGCATCAGAGCCCTGAGCCGTGCACAATGTTGCTTGCCATACACAGCAACTCGGGTTACCATAAACCCTGTTTGTGTCCCATTGTTTGCCATTAGGAAACAACCACCAATAACTCTAACCCACCGCAGCCTGATCCTTTTATAGGAAATGCACACATACAACAAGAAATTGGCAAAGTTGTTTCTAAAATCTATTGCCACCCAGAATTGTTGAGGTGGTTTTTCTTCCTCTTTCTTCTCCAAACAGGATAATTACTTCTGACCAACCCCATACACTTTAATTAAAGTAACTGCAGCTCAAGAGCACGTTACTCACAACTGTACACAGAGAGAGCTCTGAAAGCTTCAGCCACTGATAAGCATCTCACTTAGATGGCTCATAATTGCTCACAGCATCCAGCGATCGCTGCCATCGCCGTTTTTTACCACTAATTCTGCACGAAGGCAGCAACGCCACAATTTCAGAACACAGCGAATTGCATAATTTTCTCTTTTTACTCTTTTTCTTTCTTTTTTTTCTTTTTTCCTGATTTTCTTTCTGGCCAATTTAAAATTTGTCAAAGTCGGTCTCCTTCTGGATCACTGCCCTTTGATATTTCGCGCACTCCATTTGCCACAAACAAGCCGCAGGGCCGCAGTTCATGCTGACTCCAGCAGAGAGAGAGCTCCATTTATCTTACACTCCCTGCTGAATTCCTGCTCATTACCTGGGGGTTCACTGCCTCTTTTTAACCCCCCAGTGGCTGTCATCATCCCTTCAGAGTAACTGGCTGGTAGGAAGAGGGATCCTCTCTAACATCTGTTTGTAGAATGACTGGATGGTGAGGGGTGTGGGGCTGAAGCTTCTTTCTCTTGAAGGAAAGTGATATCGCTCCCACATTCACCCAGCATCTTTTAACTTTTGAAACACGGAAAGGGGAAAGGGAGAAGATTCCCAAGGGATGGCCGTTTAATCATTTGTTACAAATCATCTTATTATCAATTTCCTGTCCACATTGAAGAAAACCATATTTATTTAACCTTGACCAAGATGGCACTAGAGGAAGAATCCTTAGTCGGCTAAATGTGAAGCAGGCACTGGCCCAGGGCAGCTTGGGGCATGAGCAGTGGAGCTGGAGTAAAAATAACTACGTACAGGTCTTGGGTATGTTGCTTGCAGGTAAGTTGTTTAACTTCTCCAAACATCAGCTTCTTCATCTAGAGAGTGGGGGTAATGCTCCCCCCATCCCAGCGCAGGGATTAGACGAATGTGCGCTGTCTTTGAATCTGCGAAGCAGTTTTCAAACATGGTGATTGGCATGGTTTCCTTTCCATCCTAATCATCGGAAGAAGCAGATGCCGTGTTTGTAATCGAGCATTTTCTGTGGCTTAGGCCCCCTTTGGGAGCGAGTGGTATAGGGAAGGAAATACGAAAGAAGCAGAAGCAGCAGTCTTGTCTCAGGTATTCTCAGTCAGTCAGGGAGACCGTAGACGTCCAGGTGTGTTTGTGACAGAAGAGATCAGTGGGGATGTAACAGAAGAAACATTTGTGAACCTGGCTCCTTTTGGGTTCACATTGGCTTTTGGCTTCTTTCTCAGCGCCTAGAAGCAGACTGCCAAAATGCTTTTTCACAAAGTGGGTAAAAATGACCTCAGTTTCCAGATTGGGAGATCGAGGCAGAAGGAAGAGTTAAATAAGTCATCCAAGGTACAAAGTAAATGTACGCTAGTGCCCAGAAGGGAATTCTGGTTCCCTGTGTGCTACTTTTCTCAGGATTTCCTCAGATATTTACCTCAGCTGAATACTAAGCCTGATCAAAAGTAAACAGGAGCTCTTTTTTTGTAAATTTATTTATTTATTTATTTTTGGCTGCGTTGGGTCTTTGTTGCTGTGCGCGGGCTTTCTCTAGTTGCAGTGAGTGAGGGCTACTGTTCCTTGTGTGTGGGCTTCTCGTTGCGGTGGCTGCTCCTGTTGCAGAGCACGGGCTCTAGGCGCGTGGGCTTCAGTAGTTGTGGCACGTGGGCTCCGTAGTTGTGGCTTGCAGGCTCTAGAACTCAGGCTCAGTAGTTGTGGCACACGGGCTTAGTTGCTCCGCGGCCTGTGGAATCTTCCCGGGCCAGGGCTCGAACCCGTGTCCCCTGCATTGGCAGGCGGATTCTGAACCACTGCACCACCAGGGAAGTCCCTAAACAAGTTCTTTAAACAAGAGTGCTTTCCCTTTGTGATCTGAAGCCAACTCCACGGAGAGGCATCTGACATAGGAGGACGCCTGAGGAGTAGATGTTATCCTGTGTTCCCAGTCTCTTCCCAAATGGGCCTCTGCACGGGGGAGCGTGCCATCAGGTCACTTAGACAAACCAGTGCATGGTGATTGACTGTGCTCAAAATACTCTCTAAGCATAATGAATAATAATTAACTTCTGAACAGCTAATGTCATCTCTTTCAGGATTCTTATTTTTTAAAAATGGCCTTTTGTCATTTTATATAGTTAGTTTGGGTAGAGGTGGTGAATTACTAGTTTACAGTTCTGTGATTATAACAGAGAGTATGAAAATAGTACATAGATTGGTCCCTCATAAAGGTAAAGGGAAGAATTACCCCAGCAAGAAATGTGATGTCAGACCAAATAACAGAGTCTTGCATTGCTGGACCAGTTCTGACCCTGGGTTCTCAGAACCCAGGCTTGGGAGAGTCAGTGCAGAGAGGAAAATGTCCTACCATTCTGGTCGCCTTAAGGAAATTAAATTCCTTCTTTGGAAACAGAGCGCAGCCCTCCAGGGCTTCCCTGTGTCTCTCTGATGTCCTTTTACCTCCAGGACAGGGAGAGCGGCCTTAGAGCAGGACAGCCTTCCCAGCCTGGCCTCTTGATGCTGTGAAGTGAGATCCCCTTCTGGATCCTCATCCTCCTCTTGTGTTCCGAGGGAAGTGACAAATCAATTTAGGTAGAGAGAGAACCCTCTGGCCCAAGCGTGACGCCACTGTAAGCTCCCCGCCGTCCCTCTCCTCAGTACAAAGAGCACCTGGGCCAAGGAGCCGCTTGGTGGAACTTTATTCTGCTCCAGACACACGTCTTGGTCGTGGCCCTGTTCCCAGACAGCCGGGCAGCCTGCCATGCAGCGCACTGGCCGTGCCCACGTGGACGGAGCGCGTTCTGGGAGTGGCGGTCTGACACGGGCAGCAGCGAGCACCACTGCTGGCCCCTGCTTGGCCGTAAGGCCCTAGCCCACACCCCACACGCCTCCCGGCCTGAGGCACCCTGGGCGTGGGTAGATGGAGTATTGTGGCTGCGAGTGAGGATACATGTGTCTGAAAATCCTCA